GGTTAAGAATTTTGCTTCAGGATGAGAACAGAAATCGGGCTCCGGCGGCGCGGCGGCAGCAGGAGGCCCCATTAGCTAAAGTGGTGCTTCAGGTTAAGAACAGTTTCAGGTTAAGAATGGACCTCCGGAACGAATTAAGTACTTAACTCGAGGTACCACTGTATATTACTTTAAATTGCATACAGAAATGCATAGCATTGGGCAAAAATTGCACACAAACATTTATATAGTAGGATAAATTTGCATGAGGTTTTTTTAAATATAAGATTGTCAAATTGTTGTGGAAATGTGGAAAACTGAATTTATGATTGGAAAAATGAGAAGATGAGAGAACCTGAAATTGACAGATTACCCACCCCTAACTTTGTTGTTGTTGTTTAGTCGTTTAGTCGTGTCCGACTCTTCGTGACCCCATGGACCAGAGCACGCCAGGCACCTCTGTCCTCCACTACCTCCCGCAGTTTGGTCAAACTCATGCTGGTAACCTCGAAAACACTATCCAACCATCTCGTCCTCTGTCGTCCCCTTCTCCTTGTGCCCTCCATCTTTCCCAGCATCAGTGTCTTCTCCAGGGAGTCTTCTCTTCTCATGAGGTGGCCAAAGTACTGGAGCCTCAGCTTCACGATCTGTCCTTCCAGTGAGCACTCAGGGCTGATTTCCTTAAGAATGGATGTGTTTGATCTTCTTGCAGTCCATGGGACTCTCGAGTTTCCTCCAGCACCATAATTCAAAAGCATCAATTCTTCCTGGAGGAGGAACCGGCAAGCCACTCCAGTATCCTTGCCAAGAAAACTCCATGGACAAAGATTATCTTTGGATCTTGACTGTTTTCACACACAAATACTGCATCCTGTAGAATTCTATCTGTTACATTTTATCTGCACAATCAGAATGAATTTCAGGAACCAAAAGTCATTCTGAAAAATATGGTCTTTTAGCAGTCTGCCCCCAAAATGACAACTAGGCATTCCATTTTGGTGACTGTAAACCTGGTTCAAGGAGCCATTTGGTACCGAGCTTATATATCTGAGTTTCTAACTCTGGGGTCTGAGGAGTATGTCGCTTGCTGCTGACCCCTCTGCTGTGACGCACTCACAGTTCCAGGCCCATATAAGCCTATAGCCAGTTTTCTGGGAGACAGTTCAATTGAACTCTCTTGAATAGACTTGTCTAGGCTGAGTGGACTTGAAGGGTTGTGCTAAGTCTTGCCCTATTGCAATGCAACCCAGGTTTAAAGCAGAACTTTCTGAGATACTGTCTCCCCCCATGCAATGCAAATCTATGCATCTTTACTCAGAGGTAAGTCCTGTTGAAATTACTTCCACCTTTACACAATGCTATGCATACTGACCTGGGAGTAAGCCCCATTGAGCATAGTGCAATGAATTTCTGAGTAAAGATGCACAGTGCTAAGCAGCAAGTCTCTCAGTTCCTGGAAAGGTTTCAATATATACACTTTGCTTATTACTGTGGTGCCTTCGCATCTTGTTCACTTGTTAAGTCTTGCATTCTTGTTAGATCATGCATAACTTGCGGAGTTTAGCATTACGGAGATTCCAGAGACAGACAAGCTAAGGATGCCAGAAGTTGCCAGATTCTATTTCAAGTTCTGAAAGGGCTCAGCCTATATATAGTCTGACACCTCCTTTCTCTCTCTCTCTCTTTAAAAAAAGACCTTCTAATATTAGTATAAGCAACACGGAAGAACAGCACAGCTGATGAAGTCACTTTGTGCTTCAAGATTTCTCTAGCAAGTTAAGACTTGAAGCGGGAGGATATTGTACAACTTTTCCGAGACACTTGTAACAGCCGACTGACAAGTGTACCGATTTTTGGAACTCTTGCTCATGGTTTTGTCACCTTGGAAAAATGATTGCTCTAGGGTTTTGTTTTTAAAGGGAGCTTATAAACTGTGTGTGTGTGTGTGTGTGTGTGTGTGTGTGTGTTTAGGCTTGAAAATATATGGGGTCACTCTTGGTAGTTTATATTTAAAATTCATGAAAGCATAACAATAAGAATTCCATACCTAAGAAAGGCTGGGTTTCATCTCAAATATTGTTTTGCTGGTGTGTAACGTAATACAGGTATGATGTATTTCAAATGTACGAAGCATTTAACATACATTTTCTCAGTTCTCCCTCTTACAGTCCTGTAAGGCAGGCAAATTTTATCCCCATGTTGCGGAGGGAACGTTGAGACCAAGAAGACAGATGATCATACAAAACACCTTGTGAATTCATTGCTGTGATGAACTTTGAACTAGGGAATTGCACACATTAGTTAGCTGCTACACTGTATATTCCTTGTATATGCAATTTATAGGTACTTTGAAGGCTATGAAAAGGACCACTCTTTATTACACATGCATTGGGACTTAGCAGTTCTAGGTAAGGAATCTAACAAGAAGCCTTAATGGGAGCATAGTGTCTAGATCACAAGAAGTATTGAGTACCTCTCTATTCTACTTTTGTCGGACTACACTTTGAGTACTACGTCCAGTTCTATCAGTTTAAGACTGATATCAGTAAACTGGAATGTGTCCTGAGGAGATTGGCAATGATGCAGAAAAGGGAGTGGAAATCTAGTCTTATGGAGAGAGGTTGAAGGAGTTGCAAGATATGATTATAAGACTATATGAAAGCCTTTTTTAAAAAAAACTGTCATATAAAATGATCAGATATGTTTCCCGTCAACTCAGAGGGTAGTACCCAAGTCAAAGGGATTTAGACTAAACATTAGGAAGAGCTTCCTGATGGTACAATCTGTTCAACAGTGGACCTGATTGCTTCAAATAGTGCTGGTCTAACCTTCATTGGAAGCTGGATGGCCACTTATTAGGGATGCTCTAGCAGCAGAGTTCCTACATCAGCAAGGGTTGGACTAGATGACATTTGAATTCCCTTCCAACTCTCTATGAACTACAAGAGGTAGTTAGAAGCAGCTGGTTATCTTGGTACTGCAGGACCAGGGAGAGCTCCCAGAGACTACAGGAGTTACATCCCAAATAAGATAATTTAAAGGGACAGCACCCTGGAATTGAGCCATGCAATGTGGCACCACTGAATGGGTTTAGACTGCGGCCACTGCCAATTTCTATTCCTTGGACAAAATGTTTGATTCACCAGTCCCTGGTTCAATCTCCTAACTTGATTCCTGAGGGGCTCAAGGATCTCCTAGGTAGACAATCCTGGTTCAAGTCCATAAATAAGAGGTGTAGTCATATGGGGAGAGGGATAAGAAACACCATAGTTTGTAGGAATAGGCAATTTCCTGCTTAAGTGAGCATTATCCACTAGTTTGTTTTTCTTGTTTTGCATTTTGGTCTGTGCAACATAAAATACAGCCGTAAAAAGGACCCTTAATGCACATCTGTCTCAGAGGAGATAAGCAGAATTGCATCCAGAAATATAGTTTGCTTGCGTCTTCTCTGCAGCTGCTTTCAATTGTCCTCTGGTTGTACCCTACATGAACCAGGTCACGCTGACCTAAGAAAACAATGCGATGTGAGGCACCGTGGTGCTGATCCAGATAAACCCAGGTCATTTAGAGCCCTTGCATTTGTAGGGGAGCAGAACATCAAATGGGGGAATCAAGGGTGAATGACAGTGACTTGCATTTTTTTCTGCTTTTGCTCTTATTTGCAAGGCATTTTAAGTAGACATGCAGGGACCTGAGACCTGCTATGTTACCCTGGCACACACAGTTGCAAATACCCAGTTGCCACTGTCCAACATATGAAAGACCATCACATCCCACCATGGAGCCCATAACAAAGCAATGGTTTATCTGGTGATTATTGCCTGGGCTTGTAGCACAAGATCCAATCAACAGGTATCAGACAGGACTAAGTAGCAAGTACAAAAGTTTATTGACAAAACCTAACATTTTTCAAGATAGTCTATAGAAACGCTTTGGGAATTTTGAACTACATTTCTCCTGGTGAAGAAGTAGCTTTTTATAAGCTCAAAACATGATTCATTTGGCTCTGTTGTTAATGCATCATCCAAGATAGATAAATACGCGCCAGCATTTTATGTAGTTTGAGTAGAACTATAACCAGATTGCACAAGATTGTTTGCAATGATTCTACCATTATTGCTCCCTGTTTTTTCAATATTACATATGTCCCCCCCAATCAGAATCTGGAAGCTATAACTTGCATCTTATAGCTGTGTCTTAGGTGTCATAAACCTGTTTCCCTCTATCTAGCTGTGGGGAACTTGTGGCCCTTCAGTTGTTGTTGGTGAGGCTACCTGACCTCCCTGTGGTTGAGTCGATGCTGCATACCAGGATGGAGAAGGGAAGGGGCAGAGGTGGTGGCGAGTTCAGTGCAAATGCACAGGTGGAGGCCTACCTAGTGCTCCCGTCTGCCTGTTTGCATCCAGTCTCACTGCCGCCGTGTCCCAGAATACAACAGCAACTCAGGCAGAGGAAGATCAGGTAAACGGCGTAGCCTTGCCATGCAGTCCACTGCTACTCCATCTCCCATCATCCCTGACTATTGAATACATCAGCTAGGGAGTTGGAGTCCAACAAGTGCCACAGGTTTCCTTAAAGGTAAAGGGACCCCTGACCATTAGGTCCAGTCATGGCAGACTCTGGGGTTTTGGCACTCATCTCGCTTTATTGGCTGAGGGAGCCGGCGTACAGCTTCCGGGTCATGTGGCCAGCATGACTAAGCCGCTTCTGGTGAACCAGAGCAGTGCACGGAAATGCCGTTTACCTTCATGCCAGAGTGGTACCTATTTATCTACTTGCACTTTGACGTGCTTTTGAACTGCTAGGTTGACAGGAGCAGGGACCGAGCAATGGGAGCTCACCCCGTCGCAGGGATTCGAACTGCCGACCTTCTGATCGGCAAGTCCTAGGCTCTGTGGTTTAACCCACAGTGCCACCTGCGTCCCAACAGGTTTCCTTATCCCTGCCTTAAACTAACCCAGTTCATCTCTTTTATCCAGAAGTATGCTTAAGTAACCATGACCTGTCTTGATCCATTGCAGATGCATTGCGAGAGGTTTCTATGTATCTTGAGAATACTTGGAACCACACTCTTTGGGGTGTCCCTCCTGCTTGGGATCTCCTGCTGCTTACATTGTTGGCTACCAGTTTATCCAAACGGACAACTATTACTTCTCCTTTGGACTCTACGGCGCCATTCTGGCATCGCACCTCATCATCCAAAGCCTGTTTGCCTTCCTCGAACACAGGAAAATGAAACGGTCTCTTGAGACGCCCATCAAGCTGAACAAAACTGTTGCCCTTTGCATTGCTGCCTACCAGGAGGACCCAACTACTTAAGGAAGTGTTTACTTTCCGTGAAAAGGCTCACCTACCCTGGAATTAAGGTGATTATGGTCATCGATGGGAATTCTGAAGATGACGTTTACATGATGGACATTTTTAGCGAAATCATGGGCAGGGATAAGTCTGCTACTTACGTCTGGAGGAATAACTTCCACCAGAGAGGCCCCGAGGAGACGGAAGAGTCGCATAAGGAGAGCATGCAGCACGTCACTCAGCTCGTCCTGTCCAACAAAAGTGTCTGCATCATGCAAAAATGGGGCGGGAAAAGAGAAGTGATGTACACAGCGTTCAAAGCACTGGGGAGAAGCGTGGATTATGTGCAGGTAGGTATGAAAAAGCCCTTCTTCACTGCCAAGTAAAACAAGCCTCCAAAGAAAGCAGGTCTTGTACATCTTGTGCTGGACGTTGCAGTGCGTAGCCTATCCTAGTCCCTCGGTGAACAGAGCGCCCCTTTCACTCTCTATTTGGAAAACAGCAGGGCTGTTGAAAAGCTTTAGCTTCTGAAATAGTTAAGGCTGGTCAGATAGTACACAGTGGCACGTCATGCTGGTGCAGGGCCAGTTTTAAGGGGATGGGCAGAATCTGACACTGAGCTGTGCAGTTACTTAACTTAGAAGCGTTCACAAACCATAACAAATTCAGACAGCAGTGCACTGGGGGGGGGGTGTGTGTGGCACTTACGTGCCAAGGCCCCGTGACCCACAGTTCCCTAATGGACAATTAACACATGGACACGAGTATTTTGGTTTATGGGTTCAAATAGGCCAGTGTTTCCCAACCTTTTTTGGGCAAAGGCACACTTGTTTCATGAAAAAAATCTCGAGGCACACCACCATTACAGCCCCGTGACGTCAGCGCGCAGCGTCACGCCGGGAGGGACGCACGAAAGTGTAAGTTTCAATTTTTTCCCCTCCCCCTTGCCTTCCTTCTGTGCCAACCGCCAAAAAGCCAAGAAAAAAGCCAAGACTTTAGGGCAGCAGGTCGACACGGAAGAAGCTCCTACCTAAGGACAGGTGCGGCGGCCGTGTCCTCTTCTGCCACACTTTGGCAGCCCTGCCTCACGGTCGTGACTCCCACCCTGATTTCTCCCCGCAGGTCGAGCGGCACAGGCAGCCCAATGTGTCCAGCCCAGACACAAGCCCGCTTCCCCACTCTAGATCCTGAATGCGACCAAGTGCTCTGGACTCCCGAGCAGGGTGGGAAAGAGGACTCGCATCTGGTAGCCTCCGGGCTCCTCGCCTGCTCGAGGGATGGCATTGCAGGCAAGCTGCCGGCCGTCGCCATCGCCGCCCCCTCATGCGAGTGGACCTGCCCGGAGTGGTGGGCCGGGGGAGGCTCGCTCTCTGTGGGGATGTGGCCCGCACACACGGCCCCGCTTCCTCCTGCCCAGGGCTGAGCTCCTTACCCGCGATCTCGGTCTCGCGCACGCGGATCCCACTTATTCTGAAGCTCGCGCCACTAGCCGGGGCTCTCACACCGTGCCAGGGCGAGGCGGCGCGGCCCACTGACGTCATCGCGGCTCACTGCCGCCCTCGACTTCCCTGTTCCCTCCCCTCCCTCGGGTCGCCATGGTTACCGAGGACTGCAAGCTGCTCGGGCGAGCGTGGGGCATTAAGTGGGAGAAGGAAAATTAAAATTAAAACTCGCCTGAAGGCCGCCTCTCCGGATACAGTGGTGCCTCGCAAGACGAAATTAATTCGTTCCGCAAGTCTCTTCGTCTTGCGAGTTTTTCGTCTGGCGATGCACGGTTTCCCATAGGAATGCATTGAAAATCAATTAATGCGTTCCTAGGGAAACCGCCTTCAGACCAGGTCCGGGGATAGTCTGTCCCCCGACCTCTTCTGAAGGCTGGGGGGGGGACAAGGGCTTTTCTTCCCACCCCCAGCATTTTAAAAAACCCCGGGACAGCGGAGGACTTCTCCGCTGTCCGGGGCAATCTTAAAATGCTAGCGGGCGGCATTTTAAAATCGCCCGGGACAGCGGAGGACTTCTCCGCTGTCCGGGGCGATTTAAAAGCCCCTGGGAAGGCAGGCAGGGGGGACAAAGATTTTCGCCCCCCGCCCGCCTTCAGAAGAGGTCCTGGACCTCTTCTGAAGGTGGGCAGGGGCGAAAGTCTTTGCTCCCCCTGCCTGCCTTCCCGGAGAGCGGAGAAAGGCAGCGCATTTCTCCGCTGTCCCGGATGGCTTTTGAAGGTCCTTGACCTCTTCTGAAGGCGGGCGGGGGCGAAAGTCTTTGCTCCCCCCTGCCTGCCTTCCCGGGAGAGCGGAGAAAGGCAGCGCGTTTCTCCACTGTCCCGGACGGCTTTTGAAGGCAGGCTTTTGAAAGCCGTCCGGGACAGCGGAGAAACGCAGCACGCCCTTGCCGCTGCCCCCCGACTTGGCTGGAAGGCTGGCGGGGGGAGAAGCCTGCTCCTCCCCATTGCCAGCCCCGCAAACTCGGGGGACAGCGGGAGAGGCACAGCGCGCCCTTGCCGCTCCCCCCCCGACTTGGCTGGAAGGCTGGCGGGGGGAGAAGCCTGCTCCTCCCCATCGCCAGCCCCGCAAACTCGGGGGACAGCGGGAGAGGCGCAGCGCGCCCTTGCCGCTCCCCCCCGACTTGGCTGGAAGGCTGGCGGGGGGAGAAGCCTGCTCCTCCCCATCGCCAGCCCTGCAAACTCGGGGGACAGCGGGAGAGGCGCAGCACGCCATCCCGCTGTCTCCCGACATGGTTTGGAGGCTGGCGGAGGGCTTCCTCCTCCCCCAGCCCCGCAAGCTCCCAGAGCGATGCCAAAGCTGCGCGCAGCTTCGGCATGGCTCTGGGTCCCGTTCTGGGGGAGGGGGAAGCTCGGGCTTCCCCCGCCCCAGCCCCACGCCTGGCGGTGGGGGAATAATTTTTTTCCCCCTTTATTCCCCCCCCCCGCCAATTTTTCCCGCGGCACACCAGGCAACGTCTGGCGGCACACTAGTGTGCCGCGGAACACCGGTTGGGAAACACTGAAATAGGCCACAACTTTATTGGTTACAGATGTGAGCGGTTTGGCTTAGGCATTGGGTGAAGCCAGGCTAGATCTCTACTCCTGCCTGCCTGCAGGAAGTCCATCTAAGAGTAAACCACCAATAGGGGGAGCCCTATGACGTACATCAAATAGGGGCACCCCGAGGGGTTCCCATTGGGGTTGTGACATGGCCCTAGCCCACATCCGACAGAATCAGACAGAATCCACACACCCGGATCCCTTTAACAGGATACCCTTGCTGAGGAGGGGCAGGCAAAGGCTACAACCTCCCCTCCACCCAAACAAAGGCTTACCCAATGCCTAACCTCAATGCCTAACCTCACAAAGAGATTACCTTACCATATTCATTGCGATACTGGACCTTAACTCATGGTCCAGTGTGCAATGAATATGGTAAGGGGAGCACCCCCAAACCTGCAAATGATATCTATGATTACTTGGACCCCGAAGCATCACTAGTTTGAAATTGGTACAAACATTGTGGCAGACATTTCTTCTCTGAGTGATACTCTTTTCCCAACCATATTTTTTAAAGCAGGGATAGATTCTTTGCCTCTGTTTACACATGCTTCTGTTTACCTTATCTGTTTATTGGCAGTTGTTTCTAAATCCATAGATTAATCACTTGCTGAATTACATATCCTGCAACAGCAGCTGGTCGGGTGGTAGCACTTACCTGCCCTATCAACCTGTACTACTGGGAAGGAGAAGGGAGAGGTGGTAGTTTGGCCAGTGCAGTGCAAATGCGCTGGCAGAGCCAACCTGTGCTGCTGCCAAGTGCACTTGCATTCTGCCAACTCACTCACGGCCATCTCACCCTTCCCAGTACACTGCAGTGATGCAGGTGACAGGAGGTCAGGTAAGCACTGCTGTCCTACCTTGCTGACCACTGCTGGTAACCTGTATGATGGCTACTAGCAGAAGCAACTTACGAATGAATCAGGGTTATAAGACTGCAAAGACAGCAGTTACAGCCTCTCAGTGGGCTGTTGGCCTGAAGAAGAACATTGCAGTTTGAGTGTGGGTTTCTATTTACTTGTCTCACATAGGGGATCTCCCACTATCTATTAGCTTACATCATTAGGGGAAATGCTCTGTTTCTGGGAACTTACTTGAATTCAAGCCAATTCCTTCAAAAGGCGAAAGCGATGGAGCTACACTAGGGAGTTCCCGATGAGGAACTCTGAACTGCAGCTGATCCTAGCTGAGCTCCCAGTCAGAAACAAAAAGTCCAACTTACAAAGGGACACTCTGGGTTTCAATTTTAAGTGCCCAGCTGTTCCTTTGTAGCTGCATCCAGAGGTACCCCATACCCATGATGGGGTATGGGGCACAGTTTGTCAGAAGCAGCTCAGCAAGCAAACTTGGGACTCACACCAGGCCCAATTACACCCACAGGACAGAGGTTTCACCACTGCTGAGCTACAGGAAGTAGTGCGACTCATGCAACACGTTGGCGGTTAATATACACAGAATAATAAATTATACATTCTTTATCAACCTTCTGAGAAAAATGCAAAGCATTAAACAAAGCCACAGAGACTTGCGAACTACCCAGCCTAAAATGAACCTATAATGTCTGGTTTCAATAGGTTTTTCAAATGCTTAACTCAGTCTTTTAGATAAGTTCGTGCAGATACCAACAAAAGGTAAGTTCGGTGTTATTCACAATACTGAGAGATGCTAATGAAGTTGTAGATAGATGTTAATGAAGTTGTGGACGACAGGGTGCAGGTGTTTTGCACCTGTTTCGCCCTGGCAGTCCAAGTAATCAAGAGGCCGCTGTTCACCCCCGATGGGGCCCTTTTACTGGGGCTTGCAGGTACCACACTCCCAAGATAGTTTATTGGGCTTCTTCAGTGGTCTAATCTCAAAGTCTCGATGCGTATATTGATATTCAATCTTATAGAGAATACTCTTTCTTGGCTTAAGCTTAAGAGACTGATTTGCTGAGCTACAGGAAGTAGCAAGTTTACATGGAGAAATGGAAAGGACGAGAGGCTGGAACTGAGTGGGAAAGGTTATGCTTTCTGTGCAGAAAAGTCCTAGTTTCAACCCCAGCATCTCCAGGGAGGAGATTCCTGTGTGAAACACAGGTGATGGGGGGGGAATCTTGCCCTCAGGATTGTGGGTGTGACATCACACACACATGCCTCCCCACAGCCAGCGAGGCACCCTTTTCCATAGGGAGGAGCTCAGCGAGACACTGCCTCCACATCTGAGCCCCACTCCCGGAAAAGGATGCCCCACTCGATGGTTGCAGAGGGCGGAGCTGAATGGCTTCTCTCTCGGAGACAGCACCGCTGCCACCTTTTCTCATTGACTTTG